TTTTTTAAATAGATCTATCGAAATAAAGAAAAAAAACTTCCTTAGCAAAAGTTTAATGACTTTTGGAGCGCTTTGATTGACTGACATTAGGGTGGTATGTTAGAGTGATAAGATCCGACTGTTAATGCCGAAGGTAAAAGGATTAGATTTTTCTAAAACGGCGGCCAAACTTTTTTTTTCGAAATTGCCTTGCAAAAATACTGTAGACTCAGGGGTGTAGGGCGAACTTTTTTTCTGATACGGTCTAATGTACATACATATGTATGACTATGTACAAATGTATACATATGAGAATAAAACTGGGCAGTTGCATACTTTCATACATGTATATGTGTATATATGTATGTATGTCTTTGCTTGCCTGCTAGTTGGGCTCAGCGCTTAGTGTCAGGCCCAAAAGCGCAACTAAATAGCGTAAATCTGCAACTAAATTGATAATTTCAATAATACATACTTTTTTTTTTTTAATTTTATGCATCAAATGGCTGCACATTGGCTAAGTACATTTTGCAGAAAATTTTTATGAATGAACGAATTACATTAGATTTACCATTTCGGGTTGTTGTCGAAATGTTTATGTACCCAGCAGGGAAAACTACTATGCATTACTAGAATACTATCGGTTTGCTTTTTACTTCAATTAAGTGGTATATTTTATATCTATTAGCCATACCAGCAACTGGTTTTTTTAACCAGACTAACTAACAGGGCAATAGTTGTGTCTTTTGTAAGATAAATAAAATACAGTAGGCAAGATAGTTTGAAAGAGTTAAATTATTCCGGCATGAAGGTCTTACAAAAAAAGCTTTCTTGCCAACTTTCATGGTGAAAAGCTCTTTTGACAGAAAGCACCCTCAACGGTGATGAATATACCATTTTGCTTGCGTTGCTCCAATAGCCGCAATGGCGGAGTAAGCAAAGCACCGGAGTGCCAATCGAGAGATTCGAGGTTCAAACATTCGGACAGAGGGGTTTTTATTTTCTTTAATTAATTTTTTTCTTGTTTTATGATCTTTCCCAAAAAATATGATCAGAAGCTAATTGTGATTTGAGGGGTAATGGCTGTTCGGAAGAAACAGCAGGGCCACCGATGGAAACTAAATATTTAAATTAAAAATATGAAAATTTGATAAAGGAATGCGAAAAGTAGTCCCTGGGTTGACAACGATCCAAACCAGTGGTGGTAAGTGTTTTAGTTTGCAGGCATATCAGTGCTGTGGCGGCGGCTTTAATGGTGCTTTAGGCATTTCGCACGCCCTGCCCCCGTCCCCACCCAAAAAAAAAAAAAAAATTGCATTCAACTTTTTCGTTTTATTTTACTATAATTTTATTACATTTTTCATATTTTACAATTTTTTTTTGTTGCTGAAATTACTTGAAGTGGATTTATTATATCAACATATCGTTGGCTTAGTTCGCAAACGTGCTAAGCCCATTTTTTTTATTTTTCAGGAGGGACAAAAAACCGTCTAACTTTTTTTGTTGTCAATATTTTTCTAATCTGTAAATGCAGTTTTATTCCTTAGTTCGTCTTGTTTTAGTACCAATAATCGGCCAATTTCAAAATAAAGCTGTTGCAGACTTATATGCTCTTTTGGGACTTACCACATTTTCTCTTTAAGATTATATTCTTTTAATGTGGACTTAGCACGTTTTCTATCAACCTTTTTTCTATTATTTTTTATTGTTAAAAGATTTAATTGTTTAGTTTAAATATATTTTATTGTTTTAAAATGAATTATAACCTAATACAGTTTTATTTCATTGCTATTAACAAAAATAACTATTTTAAGTCGTGAATTTATGTACCATTTATAAAAGAAAATAATTAAAAGCAAGTAAAGAGGTATAAGTTTGGGCGAAACCGAACTTTATCTACCCGGCACAGGTATCAAATACTGTGCTAAGCAGGGGCATTTTCGCGATTTCAAACGTTTTCGATAATATCCTGAGTTAAACGCAATGAAATAATTGAACCACGTTTAGTAGAAATCGCTAAAGTGGCTACCGAAATACACCTTGTAGTCATAAAGTGGGCGGTGTCACGCAGTCTTATTTATTGTAAGATTGGCGGCGCCATGCCCATTATCCAAAAATGTATCATAATCTAATTTTCTGCTGAGTGGTTATCGCGATCATCGATTTTAAGTGAATTAGATTTTCAACAGATTTCTTAGCTAGACCCTAAATAAGGCTCGTACCGAGTTTGGTGAATGGGCTACTGAGATACAGCATTTCATAATAGGTAGGCGGGGTCACGCCCATTTTCCAAAAATTGCACAATAATATTTTTTACAAAAATTCTACTTCACATACTAATTTTGAACAATTTGCATCCGATATTTACTGAAATATCGTATTTTTTGCATCTTTAGGAAATACCTTTATATCGGAAATGGGCGTGGTTGCATTCCGATTCGCCCATTTTTAATAATTTACCTTGGATAAATGGAAACTTACATACCAAATTTCGTTGAGATATCTCGAGTTATCGTGTACACGGACAGACGTGTATATATATTTTTTTGATTTTTTTGGACTTAGCACATTTGCGTACCAATGCATAACAACAAGTAAAAACGACATTACGGTAATTTTCTTTTTTGGTAATGATGTATTTTCAGTTATGCTATCTTACTGCATCAAAACCTCAATTTACATAAAAAGTGGACTTAGCACGTTTGCGAACTAAGCCAACGATATTTATGTGTGTACGTATGTAAGCATGTAGAGCCGCGAGACAGATGAACATTAGATTTATATTGTGTTTACATTAGGGCGGTCCAAAAATACCCAGGAAAATTAGTTTTTGAGAATCCGTATTTTTTTTTTTAAATCGGTCAATATTTAACCGGGCTTTGATGCTTTCCATATATTTTAAATGGGAAAAATGCATTATTTTTTCAAAACGTGCGCGATGTGTAACACATAAAATAACAAATTATTTTGTATAGTAAGTGAGATTATCGGTTATGTAAGTATAGGCTATTAGTTAGTAAAATTTTAAGTTTAAATATTTATTATAATTACTTTGTTTGAAGATTTGTGAAGGAAACAATTTTTTATTCGATCAAAAAGTATTTATTTTTAATGATTTTATAGCAATTCTACGAAAAAACTTATTTTTCCCATATGAAATATATGGAAAACTTTTTATTTCAATTTATTTTCTTATAATTCTCTACCATATACATATGTATATGTACATATTTGAAATGAAAAAAACGTCAAACCAATATTTTATTCAAAAGTTGTGAAGAGCTTACGCATAGCTTTGCTCTGATTAAAATTCTTAGTACTGAATTTTTTAACTTTATTGGTTTTCAGGTGGCAAATATTTTATTTTATTAAAAATTTCAGTTTAATTATTATATTTTTGGTGGACAACGAATGTTTGGACTTTTGACCACTAAGTCGACGCCGTTAAGCAAATGGAAGCCGATTTCAAAAAATAAAAAATAAATACGGGTCTCCATACCCCTGATATTCTTCAATTCTTGGGGTGGCAGAAAAGAAAATGTTTTTTTTTTGACCACCCTAATATCCATACATACTATATCAATAGGTTTACGGCCACAGAAAAAACCAACAGCTCGGCACTGATCTAAGCTATGAAATGAAGTGAGCACAGAACCACTGAATACAGTAGGCGGATGGTGTAAGTATACGAGTATACCACATGTGTATGTAAGGATGTATACGAGAGTGTATGCTTGCAAATACCTACATATGTACATTCATACATATATTAACTTAACTAAAAGAGTTCCCTATCTTTAAGTGTTTGTGCACAAAATACAAAGAGGAAATGTGCTGTAATCGCATTAATGCTCCTACACGCTTCCCACATTTGGCAGATCACTGCGGTTGGTTTCTTGTCATTGAGTCGGTGTTTTGTACTTTTTTTTGGATTTATTTAAAAAAAAAAAGTTTCTACACTCGTTCATGGAACGTGCTGGAAAATTGGCGAATTGAAGCAAAAAAAACAAAAAAAAAATTGAAGTGTTTGTAAGTGGCGCAGTTAATTGTGGATTATGACAGAAATAGAGATTATAATTGCTTTTAAGTGGAATATCGCGCATTGTCATCGTGCCGTTTCCTTTTCCTTTTTCTTAACACTTATGTGCTTAGGTGTTGGACATTTTTTTATTACGCCATTTGTGTTTGATGATTTGAAGTGCCAATTATGTTGGTTGAATTGTCAAAATACACTAAAATTTTATACTTTCATAACAGCGTCAATGAGCTGTGTGCTATTTTACGAGGCGACAAGGAGGTGCCAACGCCAATAAGTGGCTTAATCTGGATGAGATTGAAATAGATAAATTTTTTGGTGAAAGTTTGGGTGAAAAAAAAGTGGAAGCCAAGCATTGAAAAATAATAACAACCGACTAAGAAATTTATTGAACTTAAATGCTAGAATTTAAGAAAACAAGTTTAAATTCGTCGTCGTCGGGGAAGTAGTCGTTCACATAGAAAATGCGGAAATCTTCTAAAACTACCTCAGACTTTATATTTTACTTAAAATTACAACGATGTGCACGAATTTTTCACCACAGCGCACGGGACACAACTGCATACCCAAAAGTTTTTCAATTAAACAAAAAAAAAAAAAATTGATGAAAATTTATAAAATTTAAATTTTTTTCTTTTTGAATTTTCTTTTTCATTTTGGGGAACCGTACAATTGTTTTCAATTAGTTTTTACTATATAACATTTACTAATCGGTTCTGCAGATTTTCATCAAAATTGCAAAAAATTTAATATACAACTTTTTCTGATGAGGCACCCTAATGTATTAAGATTAAAATATTTTACCATAAAAAACGATAATCATAGACATAAATGCATAAGCATGTCTTTCCATATTTTTTATTCATCCGTTTGTGTAAATATGTACGTACGCCTACACATTGTATGTACATACAAACTGCATATACATGCATACATACATATGTATAGTAAATATGTACGAGTACATAATTATCAATTGACTTACCATACATTTTACCCTCGTCAGATAAAATTATTTTCCGTCGTCCACAAGGCGGGTATATGGAGAGAGCCTCTTGAAAACTCTGTTCAATGTCGGGGCTCCAAACACCTTCCGCATCGGCAGAGGAGAGATCCTTTTCGTCCTGTTGAGCGTGTGTAAAAAAACGAAACAAGAAAATAAACGATGAAAACCATTACATTCAGTAAAATGAAAATTTTGCTTATAAAAATAAAATAATATAGTAGTATGTAGTATGTAGTTCATGTACATACATACATATATACACATTTAATATATCCTTTTATAGAGCGTGTGTGAAAAATGCTGTTAAATACAGCAAAAAGTGTCACAAAGGCCAAATGTTTGAATGCGAAAGTGCACTTCACTCAATAAGTTGAGCGCATAACTTTTTTCTGGCTCTGCTGAAGAAAGTGTGGAAAGGATCTGTGACAGTAAAAAGGAAAAAACGAACGAACAAAGGGGCAATATAATATGTATGCATTACACGTTTTTACTGGAAACAGAATGTGCGTTTTTTCTTCAATATGGATTCTGACTACTAAATACCAAGCGTGAGTACGTTCCTTTTTACCACTGATATTCTGGCCCATTAGTCATAATACAGTGGACAAGTTTCATATTAATTGGCACAGAAGAGACAACAGTGGCTTGCATTATTGCACTCGCCCGAAATCGCTTAGGAGTTTCAGCGGCACCCAAGATAAGGTCCAAGCAGTTGTTTCATGTAGGGTCGATATTGCTAGCTTCTCCTTTTTTCTTGTCTTTGCCAAAACCCTCTCTCGCAAAATTAAGGAAAGTTCGCCTGTTCTACTAAAAGATGCAGTGGCTGCAGTTCCAGCATTACCGCCAGCACTGTTATCGCTGAAATCACACGCCAGCCGTTGAGTATTTTTGAGGGTCTGCCTTTCTGGTATAAATCCCTAGCCGCTTCCAACCTATTTATTAGCAACTCCAGCTTATCGCACTTATGAACATCTTCCTGCCCTATTTTTTCTTCTTAAAAGAATGTCTCGCTTTCTTTCTTTTTTCATGGTACTGTTCTATTGTTAAGCATCACGATTAATTTGGTGGCAGGATATGCCGCAGGTTTTCCTGGAACATCGACTCGGAAATCTCCTACTAACTGCCTATTTAAACGTGGGTGATATTAGAGAGTGGTAGATGATAACCCACTGCTCATTTACATTTATTCAATTGCTTGCTTGTTTAGTCAGGATTGACAGCTGACGGAAAAAGTTCTCAATCGTTCAAATGCAGCTTTTCGACGTCAGACCTTTGCTGTAGCAATGCAATGAAGCGAGTCGAGCTTGGATCTTCGGCGGATGGCATGTACGTCAAGAGCGTTTGAAGCCTACACTCCGGCTATCAATTTGATTAGATGTTTGAACAGGAGACACCGTAGTGGCTATGTGGATTTTGGTGTCTGGGCCCATTATGTTTCTTGACGCGGCAAAGTCGAACTCTATCCCTCAGTTTTCGGAGGTATTTTCGGCAAGGCCGCATTTTCGCACAATACTCTGCCTTCTTCCGTCCATCCCAACGTTGAAGTCCCCAAGTACAATTATAAGATCATGCACAAGGATCGTATGTTCTTCTATGCACCCTTAAAATTAATCTTTGGTCTCATCGTCCTTCTACGCCGTCGGGGCGTGTACATAAAGGAGGTTAGTACTGTTAAACATAGGCTTTGATGCAGATTTCGGAAAATCGTTCGATGATTTCAGTGCACCTGGGATCAAGTGTCGTAGTCTTCGTGCTACCACAAATTCTTACAGATTTGTCATCGTTCATCGCTCTTCCTGTACTGCGGTGTACTCAATCCGGTATTTGAAGAGAACGACCAGCAGTCTGACATTTTGAGATCAAAAATTAACCCACTGTGCAATTTGTAGATATGTACGAGTATGTATCACCAAGGCAACGCCATGCGCTCGCTACGATAATAATACCAGACGGCAATACTATATTGAAGAGCAGCTGGGGCAACAACAGCACAATGCGCTGTTATGTACTCGTACGCCAAGTGCCCCTGCAACAAAAGTATTGCACTCGAGCGTAAATTCAAGTGGCTTTAATTGTCAATGAGTTTTAATGAGCAATTTGAGTAGCTGTGCGAAAGCAGAGCGCAATCGCACACATACGCAGGCGTACATACATACATAGTACATACGTATGCGCACAAATTCACACCTACGCTTTTGTACCGTTGTTTGAATTCTAGAGCTCTGTGAACAGGAGCACTACATAGTATACACAACAACAACGACAGCATGAAAGAGATGCCAAGCTGCCAAGCTGCCAATCTGCCCGTCTGGTGTTGACATTCAGCAACTGTTGCTGTTGCTGTGGCGATTGCTATCGACTATGGGAGTGATAGGCCACGCTGTTGACTTTGAAGCGGGTGGCGTTGAGGGTCGACTGTCGCTGGTTGTTGTAATAAATATGTAGGTTCGTATATAGAAACGGTTATGACAGCGACTGCGGTAATATAATACATACAATATTGTCAACTGTCGTTGCATTGTTGCTGGCATTATTGGTTTCATTGTTGTTGTTATTGTTGTCACTTTAACTGTTGCCGTTGCTGTTGGCCGCGCCAGTGGCAAATTACATTGATGAAGTTAATAATGTTTGAAGGAGGCTGTGCCACACACACACACACACACATACACGCTAAAAAACATGCGCCGAAAAGCACATTTGGCAACCCTAACAGGTAAACACCCACACCAATGCATTCTTCGAATATTGCACGGCGCTGTTATTAGTATTTGTATACACATTAGGGTGGGCCAAAAATGCATGTGAAAAAGTAAAGTCGGAATTTTTATACTCTCACCCCCTAGGATTGTTCTATACCGAAAAAATTTTATCCCTATTTATTTTGAAATCAAAAAATATTTAGAGGTCGCTCAAAGCGCCCAAAGTTTTCCATGTATTTTATATGGGGATAAAACAACTTTTCGTAGAAACGGTATATAATTCTTAAAAATCAATATTTTTCTATCGGAAAACTCTGTTTATTTGCAGAAGATTCCCAATAATAACACCAAATTGTTTATTTAACTGTTTTTTCATCGCAACTATAATTTATAGGTCCGCCAAAAACCCATAAAGACCCCGAAAAATGCAATGGGCGGACCAATAAACAATCGTTAGTATTAAAAAATGGTTAAATAAACGATTGGCTATTATTATTGAAAGTCTCTTGAAGAGAACCAGGGTTTTCCGATTGAAAAATATTGATTTTCAAGAATTCTATACCATTTCTACGAAAAGTTTTTTTCCCATATAAAAATACATGGAAAACTTTGAGCGCTTTGAGCGACCTCTAAATATTTTTTTGATTTCAAAATAAAAAAATAGGGGTATACAGAACAATCTTAGGGGGTAAGAGCATTACAATTCCGATTTTACTGTTTTTGGACCACCCTAATACACTTACATATGTACAATAAGTTCTTGCCGTATGTATCGATGTAGTACATGCGCTAGTGTGTATAGCTGCGTGCGTTTTGAATTTAAGCTAAAATTGCAATTTGATTGATATCCGAAATTGACTGCAAACATATTTGTGGTCAAATGAAATGTCTGGCATATTTGAAAATTAACTCGTATTGCTTGTAATTGTTTAGTTTTTTATGCTGCCTTATCTGCATATGTATGTACATACATATGTACATATGTTTGAGTTTATTTAATATTTCGTTTTTACACCCACACATTTGCACATTTATTTAGTTACATTAACGTTTTCGCGCTGGTTTAGTTACACTTTCGAAATGCATATTTGAATTTGAATATTAAGTTTTTTTTTGGTGTTCGTTTAATTTTGTGTGTTGCGGTTGCAAGTCTAAACAACCAAAATGGAGTTCAAATGCATTTGAGTTAAGGACCATTAAAATTTGATTGTTGTTGGCCACATAATATGTATGTATGTAATATTATGAGCGGTAGTTTAGCTTTCATAAATTTTAAATATTAAACAATTGTACCTAAGTGAGGGTGGTCTGCCGCTTTTTGGATGAAGGATGGGATTTTTTCCACATACATTTTAATCCACTTTTAATAGACTCGCCTAAGATGGAAACCCTGTTATTATGTACCTATCTTTCAAATGAAAAAAACTCGCTTAAAATAGTTATAGAGTTCAATATAACTTATGATGAACAAAAAATCGTAATTTTGTTTATTTAAATCGGAGTTGTCATAAACTACATACACCTTGTATTTCAGAAGCTCAAATGTATTTCAGAAAAACTTAAATGTATTTCAGGAAAGCACAAATGTATTTAAGAAAAATATTTTTTTTTCTGTAGATCAATGGCCTTTAATAAAAAACAAAGTTCGATGATTGTGCGAATTCAATCAAGAACGGTAACTAGTGTTGCCGCGTCAAAATATTTTATTTTTTCAAACGAAATGTCCACGCAAAATCTACCAAAAAAAAAAGACGAAGTTAAAACATAATGGGACCCATGGTGGAATTATATGATTGGTCTGAAGAATACATTCCCTAAGTGTGAAATCTCACCGTTTTTTGCCCAATTCATACCAGTTCCCATGAGCGACAATGCGGTAGAACTGAAACCCCTAATGCACAAATTTATTGCGCCTAATGAGTATGGCTTCAAAACTGACAAATCCGCCATTGAACAAATTCTGGAAAATACCCTAGATGAGGAATTCGTCGCTCACCATCACTTAGCCTATTTTAAAGCTGATTTTTTTTTGCAACGAAGAGATACCTATTGAGACTCATCTACTTGTATTTCATACGTATAGATGGTGACGCTTCGAGGAAGAGATCCTTCGACTCAGCACGGCCTGAGCGACCACGAGCAATTAAAGTAGCGACTGCAGAAGGATCTAGCAACACTAGGTGGCCATGGCAACACTAGGTGTCACAGAATTAGGCAGAGCAGTGAGGCATTCGGAGTATTGGTCTCGGGCGTATTGCCAAATAAGAAAAATAATATAAGATTGTTTCGAATTTTCAATGAATCATCTGTCCGAGCAGCTACTTACTAATTAATAAAAGTGTAAGTGCATTGATTTGTATAGCAGGGTTTTACTTACGTCGCTCATATCGCCGACATCCAGATTTTTACTATCCACCATACTGCCATTTGTGTCTGCCGGCCCCAGCGCACCAGGCGGGCCGGCACTCATCGGTGGCCACGGCGACGTAATGGTGCCGGGTCCGACTATACCGTCTGAAAAATAAAAGAAAAAGGAAAATATGAGTAGGATTAAAATATTAAAAAAAGAAGATAATACATATATATGTATACATCCTGCACAGTAAAACCGGCTTAAGTACTTCATCAAAAAAAGCTTGTTTTCAGACCAGCCTAAGTTGAGTACTTAAAATAGGAAAGGTTTAGGCATTGTAGTAGTTGGAGCATGAAAAACTGTGATAGTAAAGCGGGTCATATGTATGTATTATGACGTTCTTATACTAGGTTCACATATAAGTAGATTATCCTCTTTTTCGAGCTTAGCACCCTAATCTGTAATTATAACAAGAGATTAGCCATATAAAATTCGTCCCTTGTTAATCTGTAATTATAAAATAATCTCAGATTTAACCGATAACTTTTCGGTGTCCATCCTAGTTTTATCGATTGTTTTTGCGAAAGAGAGGAGAAATGCCAAATGTAAAAGTAAACAAAAATGTACGCTAGCAAGTAAAAGAGGTTTGTATAGGTATTTTTAATAAAATGTTAAGTTAAAATATATTTATAATGCTTATTATAGCAGAAAAACGTGATCACGGTGGCACAGAGAAGAAACATAACTTTTAGTTGAGATGTGAGAATAACAAGCACAACAAATTTGACGGCTAATAATCTGAGATTTGCCTGTGTAAACGGGGTGATTAAAAAACGAGCTTTGATTGAGATAATATTGATATGTGAACATAGTTTTAGTTTTTATGTGTAGGTCATTTAAAAATTAGGACCAATGACTCGTAATTCTGCTGAATGATAAAAAATTTAGACCGTCCCCGAAAAAAGAGTTCGGCGTACACATTTGAGACGAAAGTAGTTTTGTAAGGCAATTTCGTGAAATGTTTATCTTTTTTTGCCGAACGAGGGATCGCCTTTTTATAATTTTTGTCATATCCTCGGCATTAAAGGCCGGATCTTAAGGTATGATATATCGTGTTCTTGTCTCAAGGAGACAGTTTTCCTGTTTTAAAGTTCCTTGACCTCTTAACAACCCACCCTAATGTCAGCAAATTAAATACCAATTTAAAATTTTTTGGCCGACCGGTTGTTTTTCTGGATTTTTTAATCATATCTTCGGATTTTTAAGTATAATAAATCGATGGAGACAATCTTTTTGCTGTAAAGATCATTGACCTCAAGTACACCATTCCACTTACCCTAACGCGCCACCCTAATGCCAGTAAATTAAAGCACTCCAAAAATCATTAAACTTTTGCTACGGAAATTTTTTATTATTCCAGTAGAACTATATATTTAAAAAAATATATATATATTTGACGTATGTAGGTATCATCGAAAAATGTAAAAAGGGCACCCTAAGGTTCGACAGTTTTTTTTTCGAAATTGTCTTGAAAAAATACTTTAGACTCAGTTGTGTACGGCGAACTTTTTTTGTTTGCTTGTGAGTTGGTGCGGGCTAATATACATATGTACACCAATTCCATTGCGATTTATTGCGACTACAACTTTATTGTTTTGTACCATACTCACTTGGACATTTTAATTGGCAACTACTACTATTTCACAAGCTAGATGCTACTAAAGTTCGCTAGTTGACGTGTAGTAATGTTTTTTTTTTTACTTTTCTCTACAACAGCACGGCGCAGTGTTGCAATTTTTTGTGCTTGCCTGCGCGCCGATAATGCATTTTTAGGAAGAGTCTATGGAAAAAACTAAAACGTCCAGCACCAACATTGACTGACATGACGAAGTGGGAGTAACAACTGGCAGGATTTTGCAAACACAAGCGCGCAATAAAAAAATACTAACCACACAAAAAAAAAAGGCTCAATAGAAACGTGCGGCAGTGATGCAAAAAATTGCAAAAATTGCACAAAAAAGCGTTGCACTCCTCCACTTTGCATGCTGTTGAAAAATGTGCACAATTTTGCATTCAGTTTATTGCCTTTTGTGATTTTGGCCATTTTCCGCATGATTCCAGTGGGCGGATGCGCGTTGCGGCGAGTGGACGACCAGCCGCAAGCACAGGCATGCATTGTTTGTGCTGAATGCAACACCTACACACAAACCACTTATGTATGTACATCTACATATGTATGTATGTATGTATGCATCTGCATGTACACAGGAGATTAGCCAACAAGCCAGCCTCTCATTCTCCTAGCCTACATATGTATGTATTTCAGTCAGGCAATTTGTGTCTCGCACGTTTTTGTTTCCGTTACCGGAGGCTGCATCCT